TGAAATTAATGGTTTAAAACTTAAAACTTCACTGCAACAAGTTTCTGGTTTAAATATATATATATATATATATATATATATATATATATATATATATATATATATATATATATATATATATATATACATACTAATATCAAAATCCATTGAAAAAAAATGCTAAAACTATGAGATTTCTAAATGAATCAGTGAGAACGTTCCCTCTTTTCTTCCACGCAAAGCAAATTTCACTCTCGTACCTTGATTTAAGATCAAGGCTGGTGCATAGATGACAATCCCAGTGTAAAGCAGCTGAGGAAAGAGAAACACATTACAAGCAAATCTTCGAAGGCAAGTGAATCTGAGCATTCTCGGATAGAATGTGTGACATTCTGCTCAGGAGCATTGAAATGTGAGAGTGCTGCCCCTACCGTTGCAAGAATAAACTGGACGCTTCCCAGCAGCTGCATCCCTCTGCCAAACCTCATCTCTAGATACTGTGACGGGCAGATGGTTGGAGTCAGAACATCACAGGGTAACACACATCCTTCATCTTTCCTCACCTCACATATTAAGTTGTGTTGATGAGCAACAGGGGAATCTAATCAGCTGGACTTTAATCAGAGATATCGTAGCCCTATATCTTTTCTGTAATTTAATACTTTTTAAAACTGGAAAATCAGGATATACATTGGAGCCGTTTGAAATAAGAACACAAAATAAGTTATTTGGTTCATAGTCACAAGGAAAAAAAATACATACAAAATGTTAATCCTCTTGTGTAACATTCAGTTCTTGTTACTCTGGCCAACCTTACAGCACATTCCTGTTCACTTTATGAAATGACTAGTGCAAAGAAAGTGGAGGCTCATTGTGACCTGGTTGGTGCTGGTGATGCCCAGTCGAAAGAAAACTGGCAGGAACAGGTAAGCTGTCAGCAGGGAGTTGATGCTTTGTCCGAGGCACATGTAGAGGAATTTGAAGCCATAGCGAAATCCCTCTGAGGGAACACCCAGGACCTGGACAGCTGACATGAAGCTGGCACAGAGCGACAGACCAACAGGCACAGCCGGCATGCTCCGACCTCCGGTGAAGAAGGCCTCTGCAGTTGCATCCCTTCGCTGTTTTTTCAGAGCCTGAAAAAGCCCAATCGCCATGGAAACTGACAACATAGCAGCAAAGACGGCGTAGTCAGCCAGAGCAAACCCTGGATTACTGTCAACGTTTTTCTCCATTGCTGAATTTGGATCTTTCTGTCTTTAAGTCTCTTCTGAATCCAGATGTTCAGTTGATCTGTCAGAGGAAGCCACACAAAAACAGAAGCATGTCAGTAAGTTGTGTTGATGG